TGTTTTCCTATGGAGGTGCTTGTGTCTCCATGCTGATGTTCCAGGTGCTGAGGAATGAGCTGGGCTCTGCTCTTCTTTGGACTGGGATGATCTGCTGTTTTGTGGGTAGCTAAAGACAAGTGGAAAGAAATGATAGAAGGGATCACTGCTTTCTGCACCTCCCAGGCACTTGCTGCCCTTGGTGCTACTTTCGTGGGTGATCTGAGGGACTATAGCTTGTATTTTCAGCACTTTTGCAATCATAGCTTTCCTTCTATGGTCCCCCCCATACACCAACAATCATGGTTGCTTCTTGTTCCCACACTGGATTCTGACCAGTGCTGCCTCTCATGTTGCTGGAGTCCTGATCCCAGAGTGCTTTGTTCTGTGGGGTGGAGGAAGTAGAGGCACAAGGAGACCACTGAGGGAGCTTGGATGGAGAGGAAACCAAAGGCTGTTGGTCTTTGGCAGGCTTCTGAGTGCGCAGAGAGCCACTGAGAGCAAGTTCTGGGATGGGGGCACTTCCCAAGGCACAGAAGTGACAGTGTAGTCCTCCAAAGAGAGAGAGAGAGAGACACGCAGCTCTCCAGTGTTGAAATAGGAGCGGCGGGGCTGCGTCCCCAACACCCCAGCCGCTTGGCTAGCTTACGCCCAAAATAACAACACACAAACTGTATTCATTTAAGAACTGCTTGGCCCATGAACTCTAGCCCTTACAGGCTAATTCTCACACCTGGACTAGCCCATTTCTAATAATGCGTGTGAGCACCCCAAGGTGCGCTTACCGGGAAGATTCTAGCCTCCGTCCATCCTGGGTGAGTGGAGCATGGTGTCTCTGCTCCAGAGAGCAGAGTTGTCGGGTCTCTCTGGAAGCAGAGCAGAGTCTGACCTCACTTCCTCTTCTGCCCAGCATCCTATTCTTTTTATTCCACCCACCTATGTTCTAAGCTATGAGGCCAAGCAGTTGGTTTATTATAATTAACCAATTACCTTCCTCCATCACTCCAGAACCCACACCTGCCTCTCAGGTGCTCATCACAAAGAGGCCTCACTTCCTGCAGAGTGACTCTGACTGGCCTTTCCGTCCTGACATATACTTTTAAAAGTCAGCCACAGCCCCTGGCCACTCCCAGATCTCACATGTCATCCTTTCTTGTGGCCGACATTTCTTAGATGTCATATACGTACCAGTTGCTACCAGCGATGGAAGAAGGACTGGGACCTTACCCTGGTCAAGTGTTCTTACTTCTAGGCACATAAAACCAAATGATTTCCCTGTCTCTCCTCTACTCCCTCATTCCGCTCCACCTCCATCCAACAGGCATTTATCGGGTGCCTTTCATGCCCAAGTATTATCACAGGCATGGGAGACTCGGCATTAAATAAAGCAGATGCAAGCACACGGATCTCATATCTAATGGGGTAGATAATCAAAGACAAAGCTAGTACAACCTGAGACTTAACACATCAGCTGAATATGGGGGGTGGAGACAGAGAAGTCTTCTCAGTTGCAGTTTAGACACACTAGAGGAAGGTCTCTGTGAGAGGTGATGTTCTAGAACAGGGTTAAGTGAGATGCAGCAACAACACCCCATGCAGACATCTTTGGGGGAAAATGCCAGGCAGAGATGGGGAGTGATTTACTTGCATCTTTGCAGTAGGCAGATACTATATGTGACCTTGCTTTAAGGTCACCAAATGGGGTTTCTGGAGGGCTGAGCATTTTGCCCAAAGTCACATAGCAAAGATCCACAGGCTTGTATTTGTCCTGACGTCACACACATGATGCCACACTTGAAGTTTTTTTTTTTTTTCTCCTGACCCTGGGACCTAGACCTTCACTCTCTGCAGCCTGGATTAGGCTATACACAAGTCTGTCACTGTGTCTCTATGCATGGCCAGCCTGTGCTGTATGCTCACAGTTGACACATTACTTACGGGCCTTTCTGGGGTTCTGATGATGAATTGCTGGTTTCCTAGATTGTTCCTGAAGTTGCTCCTTCCTGTCATCCCCCTGATGCTGCTGCGGGGGTAGCCGCAGGGAGTAATTGGATGTGGCATGACTTCCTTAGCCACTGACCCAGTTCTTCATGGCTCAAGTCTCAGGCAGAAGTGAAGGTGTCACTGGAGGGACAGGGAATCCACTAAGCTCTCTGATTTCAAAACTACCTGCACACACAGACACACACAACCATTTCCTTCTCCTCCTGTCCTCTGCAGGGACTTGCTCAAGGCACAGGCTCTTCCTGGCACTGGGTCTTGGTACTGAGCCTTTGGGGAATCATGACCCACCTGACAAGAATTCCTTGCTTCAGGAACTGTCCTGGGACTCTCCCAAGGCAAGGCCTTCAGAGGGACCTTATATAAATTTCTCAGGGTTCCTGGCTAGGTGTTTCCTGTATCAGAGGTTCATCTACCAACCCTGGTCCGCTCTGGACAGGGAGCTGAGTTCTTACTACTCTCAGTGGCACTGGTATATAGGGAAGAGAAAGGGGACACAGTCTTTCTGTGACATGCTCAAATTGCAGACTCAGCTGGTTCAAAAGTCTCAACACTTACAAGAAAGAACTGAGGACTGAGACATCCATGCATATAATGGCTCAGCCGTGGCCAGGGGCTTCTAAATATCTGGCTGATGTAAAGATTGTGTGTGTGTGTGTGTGTGTGTGTGTGTTCTTTCTAGGTTTCTGGGTTACCAGGTCACTCTGGCCAAACACCTTTTCACACATGTAAGAGACCCAGTGCTAGAGAGAATGGCAAAGATGCCTGCTACAAGCTCATTCATGTTTGGAAAGGAGGAACAGTAACAGGTCATAGAGGAGGGACTAGATATGTGGCTTAGTGGTAGGATGCTAATCTAGTATTCACGAGCTGGGTTCTATCCTTCACTCACACACATAGACACACACACACATACACACACTCAGACAGACAGACACACACACATACACACACTCAGACAGACAGACACACACACACACACACACACACCAATGAGAGATTTACCTTTTCAACTAAAGACTTAACCACTGGAGATGTCCCCCACAGGTTAGTTTTGTAAGTTGACATTCATCCATACATCTATCTATCCAAGCACCGTGTAGAAATACGGCAAGGTCAAGGACACAAAGGAAGCCATAAGGAGCTTCTCACTGTTGGAACACTTTTCTTGTTTCTACACCTTGAGAGATTAGACAACTACGACACCTGCCGGATATAGCCTAGACCACAAAGTGTAGTCCACAAGACCTTGAATGAAAATCTCAACAGTAACTGATAAGTATTGCAATGTAACCTTTTATATAAAAACTTTGCTGAGCTGACTCGATTGTCCAAATCTTCAATTTCTTCTTCTAGAAAACTAGGGTGATAATTCCTTTCCTTTCCAGGATGTTCCAGGGATTAAATAATCAAGCAAACGACCAGTCTTCAAGTTACCAGCACATGGCCTGACATACAAAAGGCGCATCTGAAACTTACTTCCCTCCTTCTCTTCTGCTCTCAAGAACCACGTGGTCTAGTGGCGGGAATACTCCACAGACATAAGATGATGGACAGAAAGTTGAGAGACACGTTTCAAAGGTCAGTCCTGACAAAGTGTTGTGGGGAGTCATGAGTCTTAGCTGGAAGTGCCTGGCCCAACCTCCTTCATCATTCTGGAGCTGCTCCTCCCCTCCCTTATGGGTAGGGGAAACCACATTCCCACAGCATTCCCAGTAACACCTCCCTCCCTGGTCTCCCTGCTGCAATGACTGAAGGAATTGGACTGTGGGAATCCAGGGAGTGCAGAGGCAGCAGGTGGATCCCAGGATGTGAACAAATGGAGCATCCCTACACACAGCCCTGTACCGGGAGCAGAGCAGCGACAGTAGAAGCTGGCTTTGCAGAACTCATCAGAGAACATTAAATTGAGCTACAACATTAGGAACGACAATGATTTGTTTGTTTCCACTGAAATGCTCCAAAGAGAGGCAGAATGTTGACTTTCTGTGATGAAAATAGCATCATTTGGTAAACAGACTGGAGGTACAGAATCACAGATTCACAGTCCCCTGTGGCTGTAAGGGATAGCAATGCACGACTCGTAGGCACACTAGGGTGATCCCATGAGCCAGTGCAGTGAAGGTACTTCCCACAGTAGGTGTGTACCAACTAAGCGTGTGATCTAAACTTGTTAGAAGATGACAGTCTACATGTCCCATGTTACCTTTGTCACATGACCCCCTGGTTCCCATCTCTATTTTTAATGGTTCCAATTTTTTTTTAGCTTTCTTTGATGTATATATGTGTGTGTACATGAGCATATATGTGTGTTTGCACACATGCATGCATATATGTGCCTGTGCATGTGGAGACCAGAGGTTGATGTCCTATGTCTTCCACAATTCCTCTCCACCTCCTTTGTGGGCAGGGTTTCTATCTAAACCTGGAATTCACTGATTTGGCTACACTGAATGACCAGCAAGGCTTAGAGGTCCTTCTGTCTTTGCTTCCCAGTACTGGGGTTACAGGTATACACTGCTATACCAGGGTTTATCACAGGGGTACTGAGGTTCAAGCCCAGGTCTTCATGCTGTATAGCAAGTCTTTTGCCAATGGAACCATCGCCTTAACTCCTACTTTGGCTTTATTTTTCATTTTACCCATGATGCTAAAAGGATTTTTCCAAAGGTCACTCTGTTGTCACCTCTTTGCTCACAAGCTTTCACTATCTCCCTCCTGTCTACTATAATAAACTCCGTATTCTATCATCCATGGCCTTACCCCAGTGGTGCCCTGGACTGACCCTGTGAGCTATGCTCAGTGAAGCTACTTCCCAGGCACGAACTTAATTTCTTCCTTTCTTTAAAAAAAAATTTACTTATTCTTATTTCATGTACAAGAGTTTTTGTCTGCCTGTCTGTCTATGCAGCATGTTCGACACCCCTGGAGGTGTCAGATCCTCTGGAATTGGAGTTTACAGCCAGTTGTTAGATGGATGCTGGGAACTGAACCTGGGTCCTCTACAAGAATCCTAAGTGGATCAGACGGGTGGTGTGTGTCAAAGAATAGCAGGATGTAGGCGGAGCCAAAAGCCTGGACTAATTTCGGATAGTTGAATACGTTTTAGGTCACTGTCAAATGCCAGTGAGACCAGAGGTTTTGTCTGAACTTTGGAAATAATCAGGGGAGGATGCTGGTGGTGGAGGTTGCTAATGGCCGCTGGCTGGTGTGGGGAGCTGAGGCCGTGCAGGCGCTGCGGGAGCGCCTGGGAGTCGGGGGCCGCACGGTGGGCGCCCTGCCCCGCGGGCCCCGCCAGAACTCGCGCCTGGGCCTCCCGCTTCTGCTGTTGCCGGAGGAAGCCCGGCTCCTAGCTGAGATAGGCGCCGTGACGCTCGTCAGCGCCCCGCGCCCGGATCCCCGCAACCATGGCTTGGCCCTAGCATCGTTCAAACGCCAGCAAGAGCAGAGTTTCCCGGAGCAAAGCACTTTGGCAGCCGAGGCCCGTGAGACCCGTCGTCAGGAGCTCCTAGAGAAGATCGTAGAGGGCCAGGCTGCCAAGAAGCAGAAGCTGGAGCAGGATTCAGGGGCGGATGAAGGCCAAGAAGCCAGTGGGAGCGAAGCTACCCAAGGGAGTGAAACCAGTGATGATGGCCAGGCTGCTGCCGAGCAGGAGGGAGCAGACTCTTCATCTCCCCAGCCAGGGCCTTCAAACGGGGTGACCCCCTTGCCCAGGTCAGCCCTGCTCATCCAGCTGGCCACTGCCAGGCCTCGGCCGGTAAAGGCTAAGCCTCTGGACTGGCGCGTGCAGTCCAAAGACTGGCCCCGTGCTGGCCGCCCTGCCCACGAGCTGCGCTACAGCATCTACCGAGACCTGTGGGAGAGAGGCTTCTTCCTCAGCGCAGCTGGGAAGTTCGGTGGTGACTTCCTGGTCTATCCTGGTGACCCGCTGCGATTCCACGCTCACTACATTGCTCAGTGCTGGGCTGCTGAGGACCCCATCCCACTTCAGGACCTGGTCTCTGCCGGCCGCCTGGGAACCAGTGTCAGAAAGACCCTGCTTCTCTGCTCCCCTCAGCCTGATGGGAAGGTGGTCTACACCTCCCTACAGTGGGCTAGCCTGCAGTAAGCTGCAGACTGAGGGGGGTGTGGTTATGTGTCCAAGAACCCTCCTAGATGATCAACTCCTCCTCCTCACCCCCCCATCTTGCATGGAGGCTTGTGTTCTCCCGCCTTGCCTGATTCCAGAGTTTTGAACACTAAATACTTTATTACTTTATTGTTTTTTTTCCTGTTTTAAGGCGCTTACTAGCTATGTTGTTTTATTTTTCTGTCTCCAAACTGTGAGCTTGTTCAGAGTTGAGACTGCTCTTCTGTTTGGCTCTTCTGTTTTCTAAAGGGCAGTTCTCAATAAATTTGTTGAATAAATGTTCGTATTTTGAGTCCTTAAAAAAAAAAAAGAATCATAAGTGGTCTTCACCACTGACTCATCTCTCTTGCCTTCAGCCATGGCAGTTTTGACCCACAGCATTCTCAAACTCTGCTTGCTCAAATACAACCCACTCTCCATGTTCCTTCAAATCCCATCTCTTCCAGGACTGCTCTCACCTTCAAAGTCTCCAGCCTTGAAAGACTTGCAGTTTAGCTAGCATGGACAGTGGACAGTGTGCCGGGAGCATAAGAAGGGACAGTTGTATTTGCCAAAGTCAGGACGACCTCCTCCATTGCTGCTAGGAATGCCCACATCCTTTCTCTACCTGGGCTCAAAGGGATATCCACCCTGGGTTATGTCTTCTCTTCTAGCTCCTTCCCCTGGAGCATGGGGATGTTGGTCAAAATGATGAAATGGGGAAAGATGCTGGACTATAGGCTGAGATATGCTGTGACAATGTACTCAGTTAAAGCTAGCAAGCCACTTAGCTCAGCACCTTCCACTTAAAGCCTCACAAAACGTCAGCTCTTATGCTCACTGATGAGAAGGTGGGAGCTCAGAAAGGTTATGTAATATACCCAACATAACCCAGCAAATAAGGAGAGGTAGGCTTCAGACCCATTTGTCTGCTCTCAAATCGCTCCTCTTTCCAAAATGCCACCTGGGGGTACACTGGGGACTCTGGTTTGCCTTGTGATCTTTGAACTAAAGGGTGGCCTCAGGGAGCCTGGAGGTTGTGGGGCCCTCCTGGGTGGTTTGAGTTTTCTTCTTTCACAGCAGAGGAGTTTCTTGGAAGGATGTCTGTTCTGCCTTTTCTCACCCTCTCCTGGTCCCAGAATACCTTTCCTGTCCTGCTGCTTCCTCGGGTAGCCATAGCCCTCATCCAGACTCCACTGTAATGACATGAATAACAGCATTCTCTACAGCTCTCACGAGACCTCTCTGTGCCCTTCTTGACCACAAACTACCCAGGACCCTTCTGGATGAGCTGTGTCCTGGCCTATAAATAAAACAGGGGAGGGAGAGCTTTCTGGAAGCGAATCAGGTGCATCCGATAACAGGCACTGTATCCCGACCATGCTGGAAACCAGCCTGAAACATGGAAAGGCAGGAGCCCCTCCAAAGGAATCAGGTACATTTAAGTCATCCGCAGAGATCTATTTTCTTTCCAGTTCTATTCGCCTGAAAATTCTTTACAGCGCAATGCCCAGCAGGGCAATCTAAAGGGCAGAACTCTGACTCAGAAAGTTTCAGCACTCAGAAGTTTAGATCTCAGAAACCCATCAGTGATGACTTATGTTAGAAAAAGAGTCACCTCTAACATCCCTTCGGGTGGGAAACGGTTTCCCACTGTCATTTTTAAAACAGGTCATTAACTATTTGACTGGGAGATAGGCAATGCAAGGTCAGAGGAAGTGGAAGGGATGAATGGGAAAAAGCAACCAACCCCGAGTCCTCTAGGACAGCTCTGAAATACAGCCGGAAGGAGAGGAGCCCACAGTCCTCCCTACGTTATTTCCACAGTATAGTCCTCCCTCCTCTGCCGTGCGCTCATCACTGAGGCAGTCATCCAGATGTCTGAGCAGTTCCTTTCCATGAGTACCAGGAAGCCCCGTGTTTCCCGATGAAACACAAGGAGGGGGACCAAGGACCGCTGGGGGCACAGGAACAGAGCGTGGGCATTTGCTGCAATAAGATCTTCCAGGACCATGGCAAAGACACCTTCCTACAACATCCATAGCAAAGGTCCCTAAAAGTGTGCGTGCATGAGTGTATATGTATACGGAGGTGTGCTCACCTGTGCATGCAGATGTGAAGGCCAGTGGTTAACATCTGTGCCATTCTCTACCATCCTCCACTTGACTTTTTTGAGGCAGGGGCTTTTACCCACTCTGGAGTTCATTTTGACAAAGTAAACCTCCAGGATCTATCTGCTTGTCTCCATCCCTAAAGCAAGGTTTACACAGACTGATTCTGTCGAATCCAGCTTTTCACATGGGTGCTGTGGAGGTAAACCCCTTCCTGAGCTTGTCAAGCAATCACATTCTCTATGGAGCCATCTCTCTAGTCCTGTGCTCTACCTTTGCCGGGGGTGAAGAACTCTACTCCCCACATCCCACTTTGCACATCTCTGAGCTGTCAGGAGCTTGTGAATTTTGAGTCTAGCACATGACACTCCATCCACTGGACTTGGGTCTAACTTCTGCTTCATCGGCTTTCTCCAGGTGTATGACAGTCCAACACAAACTTACATGAAAGCTGGAACTGGTTTGAGACCCTGTGTCTACACACCCAGTAAGGCAAGGAGCTTTGGAATGGGTTGTGCTTTGGTACATCACCTCTATAGGCCGAGGGCCCGTGAGATGGTACAAGGGATCAGAACACCAAGTTCTGGGCATTGCTCTGTCTCTAGGTCTCTAACAGCTAATGAATAGTAGTATTTTCTCTAACTTGGGAAATCTTATTAAAACCTACAGCGTCTAGTGATCCTCTAGCTCAAGCCTCTCAGCATTCTAGACCCATAATTTTGTACGTTATTTGTTGTTTTGCAAGTGCTATAGCTTAAAGATGCTCACCCACAAAAATGCAATGGAAGTTGTATCCGATTTATTTATTTATTTATTCATTCATTCATTCATTTTGGTTTTTTCTTTTCTTTTTTTAAATATTTATTTATTATATATACAATATTCTGTCTGTATGCCTGCAGGCCAGAAGAGGGCACCAGACCCCATTACAGATGGTTGCCAGCCACCATGTGGTTGCTGGGAATTGAACTCAGGA